TGGTCTATATTCTCACGGATCTTTTCATTCAAGTTAATGATGACATTCCTATTTGCTTTCTTAATAAAAGATTATAGAATTAAATGATTACTTGAGACCTACTCATGACCTTATTCTTACCAAAAATAATTTCTGCGTATATTCTATAGCACCTAGGTTTCGAGGCTTCCTCTTACAAATACACTTTTATATGCAGTCAAACTTTATTCGATATAAAAGAGAGGTTACAATCAATCAAGAACCACTTATTTGATTTGGTGATCTTCTAAGAGTTTTTCATTTTGTCGTCATTCTATATCAATTAAGTTGCCAAAGAGGTTACAATCTCCACTCTATATGTTCTATATTACGAGTATTCCCGTTAGGTTATAAAAAACGATTAAATCCTGTTTTTCTTTGTTTGTCAATACACAGACTTTTTCAACGAATGGAAAGCATGAAGAAGACAATTTCTGAAATTATTGACTCAAGAACGGTAAATATGTTACTGTCTTAGGGCGGCCAACCATTTATAATTTTGGTTTTAACTAATTCGAATATGATATGACTACATTTTTATTGTTATCATTGAAATAAATAAAAATAGGCTGGACAGTACGTGGTTGTTTCAACAATTGACGCTGTTGATTTGGAAAATCATGGTACTACACTGCCTGCAATTTTTGCAATAGAAAAGTTGTAATTAAAGGAGATGGTGTTGATGTGATTGACAACCATGTTGAGTTAAATCGTCAGTACAATTGCATTACATGCAAGAAGGATGTTGAACATGTTATTCACTGGTATGGCCATATTAGATTCCTTTTGTCAAGAGAACTATATAATCACATATTATTACATGTTTTGAAACTAATTTCAATTTTGTATTTTTTAGTTACTACTTGGTTTTACTTGTATCTGATGAATCAAAAGCAAAAGCCAAGTTTTTGCTTTTCAACAATGCTGCTGAACAACTCATTAGGAGACCTGCTTTTCAGTTAGTCCAAGAGGTTGTTCAGGTATTTCCATAAATTTGTAAGAAACGGGGGAGTAAGTAATATTACATTGTAGAGATTAATTGTGAACCGTCATATTTAATTGGGAGTCATATGTTGTTGATTTAACCGTCATATGTAATTTTTTTTTACAGGAAATTCCACATATTTTACCTCAATCTCTAACAGATTTAATTGGGAGGAAAGTTTTATTTTGGATCACTATCGGTTCTTATGGTCTGAAACATCAAGATTCAACATATGTTGTTGATTTAGTGGTTGACAATGCAGAAATAGTTCAACACTTTCATCCACATGTAAGATATAAGTTATATGTGAACTCATCTTTAAAATACGCAATATATATTCTAAGTTCTAACCAACTGCAATATATTTTGTGCAGCCACATGTTGTGATTTTTAATGATTATGACTCGGAAGAGGAATTTATATGAACTGCTTACTACTCCAAAAGAAATGGAGAAAGTTGAAGTCCATCTTGCATGTCAAAGGCGATGAATCTCAGTATTTGATTTGTGCATGTTTTATTTAATTTTTATTTATTATCTTAGTGTCCCTGTTTTTAGTTTTATACTTATTAGCATCAAATAATTCCCTCATTTGTTTCGTTTATGTTTTCATCTCATTTGATCCATTATTGTTTACCCATTATTTAAATCATTTATTATGTAACAACTTATTAAATTTCCAAGAAAAATGATACAATTCAAATTTGTAATATTTTAAAGTATTTGGCTTATCATAAAGCTTTTTTCCAATATAGTACATGTTTAACATTTGCGCAAGTAATAAATTGTAGAATAAGGCAACAGTTTGATACGCAAATATTATAAAGAATTAAAAGATTCATACATATATTTTGAGTGGCTATCACGTAATGAAGTAGGTTATTTCTCTATTATTAATTTTGGCAACACAATCCATCCAGAGTAAAAAAAAGAGATTGTAAGAAAATCAGAATTGGAAGTGCAAACAATGTAAAAGAAGATACTAAGGATTATATTGTCATAAAGTGTTTCCAAAAAAAATAATGATTGTTTTCTTGCCAACACTATAATAAGGAAATATTATCAATCTTTAAGGATTTTACATATTTGTAAACTGGCTATCACGTAATGAATTAGGTTAGTTCCCCATTATATTTTGAAAACAGACGTCGGCTTATGCACTCGATTTCTTCGATCTACTATAACATAGTTAGTTCATTCAATCTTTATTCTCCCAATTACATAAGATTCAATAAACATAAAGTGTTTTGTTCTTGCTAAAAACACAAGCTTTCAGGTGGTTTTGGAAGCATGAAGAGAAGCAATGCATTGTCGACAGACACTGGGAAAAAATCACATAAGAAAGCCAAAGAGGGTATGTTCTACTGAAAATAAACAAAAATTATCTAATAGTGTTCTTTGGGTTCGTTCTACTGAANCACCTTCACCAAGTATCGAAAACCATTTTAGGGTGCCCTTCCAGAATGTTACGAATCAAGTATTTCGACCCATTATTCAACGGCCATCACAGTCTAATCCTTCAAACTTCGTTGAAAATTCATCAACACATACTGTCCCATTAAGTAGTGTTTTTCAAAGTTTTAAACATGCGACACAGAGATCAAGAGTTGCAAGAAAGGAAATCCTGGATAACAGAAGAACAATTGGCATTACCACCTCAAATAGAGGTAACTCTCATTAGACCTTTCGGTTTCCCCATGTTTATTTTTATGTATCTCTTGACAATAAGCTATAATCTGACCAATTTTTTTTCATTACACTGAAGGAGTTACAAGGAATTTCAAGCCAACAAAGCCATCACTTGTACCAACTTCGAGTATAATTTCATTACAATCAATAGAAATCACAAATTTAGGAGGAATTACCTAAAAAAACCTTTCTCACAATTAGCTTCCTTATTTTTCTGTTCATTTTTTTACTTATGTCTGCAGGCCCCCATTCTGAGACGCAAAGATCACCTAGCACTGTAATGTTGACTGGTTGTGGAAACGGCCCGCACCCTGCGATTAATAGCATAGGTAGGTCAAAACGGGACTGTTTTTTTTTGGTATCGCTTTGTATTAAGGATCATAAAGAAATAGCTAAGGCTAATCATTAGGGCGACAGCGTAATTAGAAGTTACTACTATCACATTTAATGTCATTTTTGTAGGTAGAATTGGTAACCTAGAAGGATCTGAACGGAGTACCAACATTTCAGCCAGGAAACGAAAGATTCTTGGATCACCTCCATCGGTGAATTCAAAGAGAAGACAAACGAAAGGTAACAACGGTTATTACTAATTTAGCGTATAGTTATTCTATTCTGTTATTCAGTCAAGTGAGATTAATTTTGCTCTGACAAATATTAACAGCAAGTCAAGTTCACAACATGACAGGACAATCAAATCCGACTCTTCCAAGACTGTTTCTAACAGATGAAAATCCTGAAGGTATTTTTATCCTCTGTTATAATTGTAGTAATATTATGACTCACTAAATGTAAATAGTAATATATAATCATAGTTATTATTCTGCTCGTCTGCTCTAGACTTCGGTTT